CTCCTTCTAGGAATTACCTTATTCTCGTACCTGTTCCTCACTTTACACCTTAACTCCTTTTTTTCTTGTTCTTGCACCTTACTTCCTTCTAGAAATGACCTCATTCTAGAAATAACCTATTCTGGGTACTCCCAGACACACGCTCTAGATAACTAGACCACGACATGGTCAGGTTAAATCCACTACGGGCTCACCGTAGCCCGTGCTACTTAGAACTTTTTGTTCCAGGTAGCGAATCTTAAACATGTTCAGGTTCAAATCTTCATCATAGCTCCTACGGATTTTCTCATTACCTTCTTATCTTATCTACGTCTCACCTTTCTCTATTATTACTTATTGGCCAGTTCCTTCCTCTCGTCTACAGTTACAGCCTCGCTCCTGTGCCAGGTAAGTCCACTACGGGCTCACCATAGCCAGTGCTACTTGGCTCGTTTTGTTCCGAGGAGCTGATTCTAGAACAACAACTTCTACTATTCCTCACACACGACTGGTCCTGGGTCCAAGGCGGACCGAAACGTCTTCGTTTCTTCATCTCCTGATATATGATTTGGTTATCATATTTGAAACTAAAGCTCTGTTAAGGGGTCAATGCAGCCTTTGGAAATAGGATAAAATAAAGCATTCTCGATATGCTTCACATTTTATTGGAAGAAAGTAATCAATATGATTACTCTCTTGACCAAGTATAAGGAGGACATGGCTCGTACTAGCATTCCTTTAGCACCCTTGGAGTGGGAAGTGCCTCGTATGGTCCTTGGGGCTTGATGGTTTCAATTATTCGTGTAGTTTAATAACTTCCTCCCTGGTACCTACTAAACCAGTCAACTTGTACGCCTAACAATCCGCATAAATGCGTTCAACAGCAGGTCAGATATTAAGTTCTTCTCATGTGAATACAGAAACAACATACTTAGAGTAAACTCTATTTCTTTTTGATTATCAGTTAATGGAACTGTCTCATTATTCAGTGGACCAGACTTCTTCCTAATCCTCGTTTGATATATCTGTAAGATCGCTCTATGATTGGTCTTCCCCTGTCCTGCTATCCACACGGCATCACTTCTTTTCTGCTTTTCATACTTGCAATTTAGCAATTCCTGCCAGTTTGACATTTGTGTTTGGTTTAGATCACATTCCAGTTCTTAGATCGTTGATAAATAGTTTCTCCTTTAGGCAGGATTCTTTAGTCTCACAATCTTCTATTTCAGGTCATTGTTTTTCGAGACGATTAATTTAAATAACAATGGAAACGTCAAAAGGCCTATTTGACTCATACGAGGTAGTTCGTATTTAACATTCAACCGCACCCACTCATGTATTTATATAACCCTCGTTTGCAGCAATCCAGGGACACCGAGTCTGGTTAAGGGCCTGCCAACGTGTTCCGTAAATCAACCACCCTATTCCCAAACCAGTATTTACCCAGGGCTTTTCTGAATTTAAACTTAGCCAGTTTGTATCCATTGTTTCGTGTCCTATTTTGTGTTGAAAGATTTAAGACCCTATAAATATCCACCCTTGTTATATTGTCATCAACTTGTTTACATTCAAAATCTGTCATCTGCATAAAGAAACCTCTGATTATGGAGACTTCTGATTGTAGAAATCTCTGTTTGTACAGGTCTCTAGCTGTGGAAACCTCTCATTGTAGAGATCTATGCATTTAGACATCTCCGCTTTTGGAAACCTCTGTTTATAGAAAACTCTGTTCATTGAAACCTTGCTTATACAAGCCAAAGCTTGTAGAAATTTCTGCTTATTTAACCCTCTACTTGTAGAAAAATCTTCTTGTAAAAACCTCTGAGTGTAGAAACCTCCGCTGGAAGACACATCATATTGTAGAAACCTCTCCTTGTAAAAACATCTACTTATTTAAATCTCTGCTTGTAGAAACCTCTGCTTGTAGAAACCACTGCTTGTAGACACATCATGTTGTAGAAATTTCTCCTTGTAGAAACCTCTGCTTGTAGGCACTTCTTCTTGTAGGAACCACTGCCTGTAGAAACTTCAGCTTGTGGAAACCTCTGGTTTTAGAAACCTATAACATTAGAAACTTCTGTTCAAATTGGATACTGTCTGTTCTCCGTCTCAACTGCAATGGACTCTAGAGATGTCTTTAAAGAACAAACAGCGAGTAATCCTTCACCTAGAGCCTACGACGACATGACCCCCCCCCCCCTCTTCCCACTTCCCTCCCTCTCCCCACTTCCCCCCCCCCTCTCCCCACTTCCTCCCCCCCTCTCCCCCTCTCCCCACTCCTCCCCCTCTCTCCACTCCCTCCACGATCATCATCCACCAGTACCATAAACATTCCCCCACCAGTACCATAAACATTCCCCCACCAGTACCATAAACACTACCTCACTAGTACCAAATAAACATCTCCCAACGAGACGAAGATGCAACTGAGGTCAATTAATATTTCAACGGTACACGTTCTTGACAGGATTCATATTGCAGACATAAGTTCTACTCATTTCTTTCATCACAACAATATATATATGTAATTATTTTGTGTACCTCAAAAACGGTCAAAAACGCCGAAGCTTCGGCGTTTTATTTGACGCGAGCGTGTGATTAGCTGGGCGAATCGCTTCTACATGCAAATGACTCATTAGCGTTGACTGGCAATTTTGGAAAATCCTTTTTTAGGGAGTTAGGTTTAATTGCCGAGCCGCCATTGCTTTGATCCTCCGGCCAGTAATTACCTCGTTAGGGGTCGTTAACAGCCTAACTTCTCAATCCGATACAATCCACCACACGCAAGGAATAGTTTCTGTTCAAGAAGACGAGGGAGTTGTGAAGTTGCGGACGGAGGTGTTTCCGTGTCGTATTTTCTGACACGAGAGTTCCCTTGTACCAGCTGGCTGGGTCTACAGCTGTTACTGTAGCCAGCTGGTTGGGTCTACAGCTGTTACTGTAGCCAGCTGGCTGGGTCTACAGCTGTTACTGTAGCCAGCTGGCTGGGTCTACAGCTGTTACTGTAGCCAGCTGGCTGGGTCTACAGCTGTTACTGTAGCCAGCTGGCTGGGTCTACAGCTGTTACTGTAGCCAGCTGGCTGGGTCTACAGCTGTTACTGTAGCCAGCTGGCTGGGTCTACAGCTGTTGTTGTAGCCAGCTGGCTGGGTCTACAGCTGTTGCTGTAGCCAGCTGGCTGGGTCTACAGCTGTTGATGTAGCCAGCTGGCTGGGTCTACATCTGTTGCAGTAGCCAGCTGGCTGGGTCTACAGCTGTTGCTGTAGCCAGCTGGCTGGGTCTACAGCTGTTGCTGTAGCCAGCTGGCTGGGTCTACAGCTGTTGCTGTAGCCAGCTGGCTGGGTCTACAGCTGTTGCTGTAGCCAGCTGGCTGGGTCTACAGCTGTTGCTGTAGCCAGCTGGCTGGGTCTACATCTGTTGCAGTAGCCAGCTGGCTGGGTCTACAGCTGTTGCTGTAGCCAGCTGGCTGGGTCTACAGCTGTTGCTGTAGCCAGCTGGCTGGGTCTACAGCTGTTGCTGTAGCCAGCTGGCTGGGTCTACAGCTGTTGCTGTAGCCAGCTGGCTGGGTCTACAGCTGTTGCTGTAGCCAGCTGGCTGGGTCTACAGCTGTTGCTGTAGCCAGCTGGCTGGGTCTACAGCTGTTGCTGTAGCCAGCTGGCTGGGTCTACAGCTGTTGCTGTAGCCAGCTGGCTGGGTCTACAGCTGTTGCTGTAGCCAGTTGGCTGGGTCTACAGCTGTTGCTGTAGCCAGCTGGCTGGGTCTACAGCTGTTACCGTTAGTTGCTAACGATACTGGCTCGTTGTTGAGTGGTGTCTTCTTTTGTGGGGGCCTGAAACCACTGCTATATACCAACAATATCTTCTCTTGGGGACGAATTTTCCACCCTTGGTGGCCCTGATTATCCTTAGTCAGACGGCGGCCGAGCTTCTTACGATTTCGTAAGTAAGTATATAGTAAGTAAGAAGCTATTTCAGCCATCTGATTGAAGATAATCAGGCTCCAGGGGTGGAAAATCAGCCCCTAGAGAAGACATTATAAAAATTCATTCACTCAGGCATACAAGAAGGATGAGAAGGTGATACGAGACATAACTGACAGGAATTGTAAACCTTGCAGTGAAAATGCCAGGATTCGTCCTGTCATTTATTGTAACAACCCTCATACATCTTCCCTCATTATGAGAAATAACATCTCTGCCTCCTCTGACACACTGAGGTGTACTAATGTAGTTTATCAGTACAAATGCAGCTCTGGAGACTGGGCACTTTGAAACATATGCTACACTGGACATACCGTGAATACATTGACTAGACACACGTCTTACACTTTATTTACAAGAGTGAGGTATTAAGCAGCATCATTCTCAACACTACAACACCATCCTGTATCGCCAAGACATAGTGAAAGATACGACAATAATCACATGCACTGACGATCGTAGGAAGCTTCGTGTGCTGTATAGGATGTGCTCATTCGGGAGCTGACATATATACAGTGACTTAACCAGTACGACACCAACCGCGCCGACTGTTGACCCTTTTAACAGTCGTCCAGGGAGTGGTTGGTATCGTACTGGTTATGTCTGTGTGTGATGCACCTGTCTTTCTCAGGTTCGAATTCTTCACAGAGATGAGTTTTTTATATTACATACAACTTGTGCAACTTGTTTATGCAACTGTGTCGTGTATAATATATATATATATATATATATATATATATATATATATATATATATATATATATATATATATATATATATATATATATATATAATATATATCTCATGAACCTTCTGAAGATGTATTATTAAATACGAAAGTACTTAAGGAAATTCCTGTTTCAATTCTTCCTTTGTGGTCTAACACTGTCATTTTTCATCACGTGTTAATTTTGTAGAGGCCCATAGCCTTGGAGAAGGGAATACAGAGCAGTCGGAGAAAACTTGCCGTTTAACTCTAAATACGTATAAGTGTTCACTTCTCCTACCACCTCTTTTGATATTACTTATGTTGCACACTTTATTATACAAGGTTACACAGTTACATGTCTGATTGCTTACAAAAAGTGGACATTAAGAGGAAATTAAGGCAAATTTGTTTCCTAGAGGCTGTAGATTTTTTCGAATTCCTCCGACGTCGGGCAGAAACCGAGGACGCATCAGGCATTCCCCCTCTGGATCGCTACACTGAGGCGCTGGAAGAGAAAAATTGGCACTCTTGGATCTCTTGTAGATTTAATGAACCTGGAACAAAGATATTTAAGAAACCTCCTTGCAGTCTCTACTCGTTAACCAAGGATATATATCAATGATTTTAACACGGTTTTCCTCTATATTTCGCATGTTTACCCGTGAATGAAGTTGAAAAATTAACTCCCCAAAACAAAAACTTACCATTTTATTTAGCCTGCCGAGTGTTGCTAAATGACGCGAGTCGCTAAAACTCTCTTGAACATCTTCGGAGGCAGAAGGAAAAGGGAATATACAAATTAGCTGTTGTTTAACATTCAACTTCTGGGAACAAAAAAAGTTCCAGGTAGCACGGGCTATGGTGAGCCCGTAGTGAACGTACCTGGCACAGGAGCGGAACTGTAACTTTGGATTACACACATTAGCAAAGGTGACAGTACATATATTCCATATAGGATGAGGTGAGGAATGACCCAATCGAGGTGATCGGGTCATCTTACCCTGCATCCTTATTGGTCGGCTGAGGCCCCATATAAGTGTGGGGGAAGTGAGTTGGATGAGTGTTTGATGTGTTGGGATTCGGCTATGGCTAATCACCTGTTATCGCTGCATTTGTCGACTATTTTGGTTTTGCTGGTCAGAATATCTTTGATAATGGTCTGGTTGTGTGTAGAAATAATGTGATCTTGGATAAAACCTTGTCTGGCGTCTTTAAAAAAAAGTTGTTGCCTTCTTTGCTATATATTGAGATAGCAGGAGCTGACCAAGTGGGCATATACACGCATTTATACGACATTCGTCTCTTTAAAAGCGTTTCATTTGCCGTCTGGGGGAGGGGGAGGAGTTCTTGATGAGCAAATTGATGCGGTCTTCCTGTTCTTGCATTGCACGGTGAGTCCTCCTACGGCGGGTGAACACAAAACTACAATCTTGAGTTCGGTAGAGCAACGGTTTCGCTTCATGCAGGTCGGCGTTCAATCCCCGACCGTCCAAGTGCTTGGGCACCATTCCTTTCCCGCAGTTCCGTCCCAAATCCTTATCCTGATACCTTCCTAGTGCTATAAAGTCGTAATGGCTTATCGCCTTCCCCTGATAGTTTCCTTCTTTCCTTTAAGTCTGTATAACCGAGCGCTTGTTCCAGTAACATTAATCACCTCACAGAACTATCACGCACGGCCGAGGTACGTATATACCCTGGAAACACAAACCGTAACTGTCTCTATTTTCCGCTTGTTACAACTTGTAATAAAGTTGTTACATCTTGGCTTAACGTGTTTATGACGTATCAGAACGTTGTTACAACTTGCTATATTGGTTGTTATAACTGGTTAGGAGGTGTTCAAACTTGCTCGAACGTTGTACCAACGTCGTAGTTTCGGTGTGTGTATGGCGGGATAGTACTAGTACTAGTATACTAGTAGTCACCGGTACGCGGCTACGTCTCATTCTTGCTCAGCGTCATCCCTTATTCTGAGCTCTCTCTCAGTTCATTCACCTGGGCTCTAGGAGACTCGAACCGTGCACCCCCACTAGCGTGTGAGACCGAAGCTCTATATCGACCGAGGTATTGAGTGATTTTAATAAGGAAAGTGTCCAGAAGCAGCTACCAAACTGCAATTTTCAACTTTCGGGAACTATCGTAAAAAAAAAAAAGTGGTCGTTTGGATCATCGTCTTCCCGGTGATGAGGTGAAGTGACGACCGTCATCGACGCACAAAACATTTTTGGCTTTCCAAGACTATTGATGGAAGGTATAGTTGGTGCTCTGATAGCTATGCGCTTAACTCCAGCGCATGTAGATTAGTCCTCTTCTGAGTCTCCGACCCACCGACTTGCCGCTCGCTGAACCAACATCTCCGTCATCTATCGTCGGCGTGAGTAGAGATGGAATAGAGATGCTGTCTATTATTAGAACAGCGCTACATAGTCACGACCGCCAGAACAACTCATTTTACGTGGCTACGACGTTATTTCAACGTCGTAGCGACGTTATGAACGCTGTAATTACGTTGTGTGGGAGACAACCTCCGTGCGAAATTGAACTACCCGTGCCAGCTGGAACATGGAACGTAATCCAACACAAGTTCCGGGACGCGAGCCAAGGGATCTCATATGGTCTGGAATCCTCCCCCCCTCTCCACACCCTCTCCAGACCACTCAGGGGTCGGCTCGCGACCCCTCGCTAGGGGATCCGATCGCTTATAAACCTAATATAGTTGTCAAAGTGGGATCTTGAGGTCCGCCCAAGACGGGGCTCTGATGCTGTCGTGGCTGGCAGCCGCTAGGCTCGTCTGGGGTCGGTAATAATGATCCTGGTAATTTATGTTATATTATTTTAATTTATTATTATAATTTATTATGTTAACATAATTTATTATGTTAACATAATTTATTATGTTATATTAATTTATTATGTCAATATTACTGTGATTTATTTATATATTTTGCGCGATTTTTTTGTCTTTCTCAAAGTTGCGGTATTTTTCTTTCTCGCACACATGACTGGCTTAGGGAGTGGGTGCATAGTTCCAGAGGTGCCACTGCAAGTTCCAGAGGTGCCACTGCAAGTTCCAGAGGTGCCACTGCAAGTTCCAGAGGTGCCACTGCAAGTTCCAGAGGTGCCACTGCAAGTTCCAGAGGTGCCACTGCAAGTTCCAGAGGTGCCACTGCAAGTTCCAGAGGTGCCACTGCAAGTTCCAGAGGTGCCACTCCAAGTTCCAGAGGTGCCACTCCAAGTTCCAGAGGTGCCACTGCAAGTTCCAGAGGTGCCACTGCAAGTTCCAGAGGTGCCACTGCAAGTTCCAGAGGTGCCACTGCAAGTTCCAGAGGTGCCACTGCAAGTTCCAGAGGTGCCACTGCAAGTTCCAGAGGTGCCACTGCAAGTTCCAGAGGTGCCACTGCAGTTCCAGAGGTGCCGCTGCAAGTTCCAGAGGTGCCGCTGCAAGTTCCAGAGGTGCCGCTGCAAGTTCCAGAGGTGCCGCTGCAAGTTCCAGAGGTGCCACTGCAAGTTCCAGAGGTGCCGCTGCAAGTTCCAGAGGTGCCGCTGCAAGTTCCAGAGGTGCCGCTGCAAGTTCCAGAGGTGCCGCTGCAAGTTCCAGAGGTGCCACTGCAAGTTCCAGAGGTGCCGCTGCAAGTTCCAGAGGTGCCGCTGCAAGTTCCAGAGGTGCCGCTGCAAGTTCCAGAGGTGCCGCTGCAAGTTCCAGAGGTGCCGCTGCAAGTTCCAGAGATGCCGCTGCAAGTTCCAGAGGTGCCGCTGCAAGTTCCAGAGGTGCCGCTGCAAGTTCCAGAGGTGCCGCTGCAAGTTCCAGAGGTGCCGCTGCAAGTTCCAGAGGTGCCGCTGCAAGTTCCAGAGGTGCCGCTGCAAGTTCCAGAGGTGCCGTTGCAAGTTCCAGAGGTGCCGCTGCAAGTTCCAGAGGTGCCGCTGCAAGTTCCAGAGGTGCCGCTGCAAGTTCCAGAGGTGCCGCTGCAAGTTCCAGAGGTGCCACTGCAAGTTCCAGAGGTGCCACTGCAAGTTCCAGAGGTGCCACTGCAAGTTCCAGAGGTGCCACTGCAAGTTCCAGAGGTGCCACTGCAAGTTCCAGAGGTGCCACTGCAAGTTCCAGAGGTGCCACTGCAAGTTCCAGAGGTGCCACTGCAAGTTCCAGAGGTGCCACTGCAAGTTCCAGAGGTGCCACTGCAAGTTCCAGAGGTGCCACTGCAAGTTCCAGAGGTGCCACTGCAAGTTCCAGAGGTGCCACTGCAAGTTCCAGAGGTGCCACTGCAAGTTCCAGAGGTGCCACTGCAAGTTCCAGAGGTGCCACTCCAAGTTCCATAGGTGGCTTTAATTTTGACAACAAACTACACATTTGTTGTTAACTGAGCAATTTGGTGAACAACAGGACGAGGGTATGTCTTACAGTATACCTGCAGCATGGGGTATGTCTTACAGTATACCTGCAGCAGGGGTATGTCTTACAGTATACCTGCAGCATGGGGTATGTCTTACAGTATACCTGCAGCAGGGGTATGTCTTACAGTATACCTGCAGCAGGGGTATGTCTTACAGTATACCTGCAGCATGGGGTATGTCTTACAGTATACCTGCAGCATGGGGTATGTCTTACAGTATACCTGCACATGGAGTATGTCTTACAATATACCTGCAGCATGGGGTATGTCTTACAGTATACCTGCAGCATGGGGTATGTCTTACAGTATACCTGCAGCATGGGGTATGTCTTACAGTATACCTGCAGCATGGGGTACGTCTTACAGTATACCTGCAGCATGGGGTATGTCTTACAGTATACCTGCAGCATGGAGTATGTCTTACAATATACCTGCAGCATGGGGTATGTCTTACACTATACCTGCAGCATGGGGTATGTCTTACAGTATACCTGCAGCATGGGGTATGTCTTACAGAATACCTGCAGCATGGGGTATGTCTTACAGTATACCTGCAGCATGGGGTATGTCTTACAGTATACCTGCAGCATGGGGTATGTCTTACAGTATACCTGCAGCATGGGGTATGTCTTACAGTATACCTGCAGCAGGGGGGTATGTCTTACAGTATACCTGCAGCATGAGGTATGTCTTACAGTATACCTGCAGCATGGGGTATGTCTTACAGTATACCTGCAGCATGGGGTATGTCTTACAGTATACCTGCAGCATGGAGTATGTCTTACAGTATACCTGCAGCATGGAGTATGTCTTACAGTATACCTAAAGCAGGGGGTATGTCTTACAGTATACCTGCAGCAGGGGTATGTCTTACAGTATACCTAAAGCAGGGGGTATGTCTTACATTATACCTGCAGCAGGGGTATGTCTTACATTATACCTGCAGCAGGGGTATGTCTTACAGTATACCTGCAGCATGGGGTATGTCTTACAGTATACCTGCAGCATGGGGTATGTCTTACAGTATACCTGCAACAGGGGGGGTATGTCTTACAGTATACCTGCAGCAGGGGGGGTATGTCTTACAGTATACCTGCAGCATGGGGTATGTCTTACAGTATACCTGCAGCATGGGGTATGTCTTACAGCGTACCTGCAGCATGGGGTATGTCTTACAGTATACCTTCAGCAGGGGTATGTCTTACAGCATACCTGCAGCATGGGGTATGTCTTACAGTATACCTGCAGCAGGGGTATGTCTTACAGCATACCTGCAGCATGGGGTATGTCTTACAGTATACCTGCAGCAGGGGTATGTCTTACAGTATACCTGCAGCAGGGGTATGTCTTACAGTATACCTGCAGCATGGGGTATGTCTTACAGTATACCTGCAGCAGGGGTATGTCTTACAGTATACCGATAGCAGGGGGTATGTCTCACAATATACCTGCAACAGGGGTATGTCTCACAGTATACCTGCAGCAGGGGGTATGTCTTACAGTATACCTGCAGCAATGGTATGTCTTACAGTATACCTGCAGCAGAGGGTATGTCTCACAATATGCCGTATGTAACCACCATGGGCACCAAAATATATATATATATATATATATATATATATATAATATATATATATATATATATATATATATATATATATATATATATAATTGATTCATGAGTTCATGGCGTTGTTGATATTATCAGTGATATTAACTGTATAAGAATATATCAACTGGTTGTAAGCCTTTTGGAAGCGACCTGTATTTTTCTGGCAGAATCCTTATGGTTGAACATCTTGTGAGATCTGGACTATGAACGAGGCTCAAGGCAGATTCGATCTGGCATATCTGCGTGAGAATATAAGTGACGTCATGGTAAATATAAAATCCAGCGCCAGGTTCAGTAACAAGTCAATATCTCGATGCTCTTTTGCTTTGGGGGCGCGAGTATAGAGTAGACTTTCCGTTGGTAGTCTCAAGGTCGAGTTTCCTTTGACTCCGAAGAATTTTAAAGCGCGGGCGAAATGTGGCGCCTACAATCACCTCAGACAATCAGACACGTTGCGAAACATCTTGTGGTCTCAGCCACAAGATTCACTCGTAAATAGGTTTTCTCTGACAAGACAATATTCACCCTGCTATCGGGGAGCAAGTTAAAGTCTGTTTGGTGGAAGCGGTAAATTATCTGACGCTGCCACCACCTCGCCCTCAGCCTCAACCACACCGGATTTCTCAATGGTCATTCCCTCCAAACCAACAATTACCTTCCATAAAACCGCTCAAGCCCAATATAGCGGCTGACACAGGCTTCGACGCGGGTCAGCTATACCGGGGCATGTGTTATCGGTGTGTCCCGATTGTCACTCCCTGCGGCGGTATGTCTCTCCCATTCAGCGGTATCTCAACGCTTGTCGTCTCCTCCCTGACACGACCAACTCCGGCAGGAAAGGTTGGAAGGGGCGCTCATTGGAACGTACATAGATTCAGTATCGTGGCGTTTATAGGCGAGTTGCGATAGTTTTTCATTCCTACAGTGTGCGACAAAGTACTCCTGGCAGCAATATTTAGAGAAGTTATCCCTAAGACGCAAGACGGTCACCGGCTTTTTGCGTATTTTTGTCAATAAGCCGAAAGAAACGGTTGTATAGAGAGTTACAACAGCAATCGCGGGATCGGAGATAACGTACAATCAAACAATCGGGAGTTTACTGGTGGGGTCGTGCATCGTGGGGCGCGGATAGTGGTCGTGTCCTCTATAATATAGGATCTGTAGGAAGGGATTTTCCAAAATATCTTTAGTTGTCCTAATACAAATAGTCAAAGTTCCCCCTAAGAAATTATGCAAATATATCATGTTTATTGCTATTTATAAAATCAATAAATGAACTAAGGAAAAAACGCTTCCTTCAGATTTTAGAGACAAACTTTATATATAAGGTGAACGTCTCATGTAAATTGAATGAAAATGAAAGAGAACCAACTCGTTTATGTTACTTGAAAAATAAATCATTAAGATATTGAAGTCTAAGGTGCTGCCATCTGTGGCTGAGGTTGACATCAACCAATTTCCTCCAGAATTGGTACCCTTACATATAGTCTTACGTGCAGTCAGGTGTATAAGTTTCATGCAAATCGTCCGATAAACAAATAAGAAAAATAA